AAATTTCTCACATAATTATTACCAAAAGGTTTTTATAATTCTTACGAAAATTTTAATGACTTTTTTAAAACTCCGCCATCAAATAATTATTATTTTTGTTGTTGTTGTCGTAGCGGCTACAACAACCCCGCCCAGATCGGTTAATATCTCAGTCGTTGTCGTCAAGTTCCGCTAACGGCGGCATAATAAGCGTGCAGCCTCAATAGGGTCGGTCCACAGGGACAAAGGCGTTAGGGTTGTCACTTTTCCGGGCATGCGAGGAGATGTTTCGAGTAGTGAGGGGTCTCTCCGCATGCCGGACACTCATTTGGCATATCCGCGTTTAGTCTGCTCAGGTATGAGTTTAACCTGTTGCAGTAGCCAGAGCGAAGTTGGGGGGCTATTGTGGTTCTTGTCTCCCGAGGCAGATGAAGCTCCGTCTCGTCAATGTCCGGTGGTTGTGTGCCTAGAACGTCATTCACAGGTCTGGAGTCTACATAACTCGAGACTACCTCCCTTTGAATGCCCGTCAGGGCCTGTCGATATGCTGACGGGTCAAGAGGTTGCTTAATGAACCTCTGGACTTCGTCCGTCAGTTCGTAGAGATGCCTCCTGACGTGCCTAGGCGAGGGCTCCTCTGCAAGAAGCTGTCTATTTGGATGACCACGTCTGTGGCTCTCAACCAGAAACTGCTTGCAGAGCATTGTGTTATGCTCCTTGACTGGGAGCATTTTCGCCTCGTCATGCAGGTGGCGCTCTGGCGCCATCAGAAGGCATCCAGTCGCTGTCCTGAGTGCAGTGCTTTGAGTCGTCTGTAGCTTCATCCACTGCGTTCTACTAGTCCCCGGCGACCACACTGGTGCTGCGTAATTTAAAACCGGCCGGACTATTGCCTTGTATGTTGCCAGCAACGTTTCTTTTGTCTTTGCCCCAAGTACTGCCGGCTAGCGACTTGAGGAGCTTGTTGCGGCTCTATACTTTATTGACAATAGCGGTTGCGTGCGCAGAGAAGAAGAGCAGACTATGGAATGTTACTGCGAGTATTTTGGGGTTATTCACCGTCGGAATTGGTGTATCATCGACGTGAAGTCCCAGCGGTAGCCTGACCTCCTTCGTCCAGGTGGTGAACAAGGTCGCAGAGGATTTCGTAGGGGAGAGGGCTAGGCACTTTGCAGTGAAGAAGTGAGAAAGCTCGGAGACATACCCGTTTACTTTCGAATACAAGCCATCAATTCCATTCCCAGTCGCCATGATCGAGCAATATTCGGCGTAAGAGACAATCGAGACTCTCTCTGGTGGTTGAAGGAGCTTTGAAATATAAAAGTTAAACAGTAGCGGGGAAAGGACACCACCCTGTGGAACCCCCTGTTTTATTTTTCTGAGTTTGCTCGATTTGTCTCTAAACATTACCGACGAGTGTCGACCACTCAGATAATTTGCCGACCACCGTTTGAGCCTCTGTGCGAGAGAGGAAGCCTCTATATCTTCTAGTAGCGTGGAATGTCTGACAGTGTCAAACGCCTTTGACAGGTCCAACGCTACTAGAATAGTTCTCCCACAGGGACGGTTACGGTTAAGGCCACGAGTTATCTGAGTGTTTATGCACTTTACTGTGCACTGTGCACTTTACGGAAACCATGCTGATGCTTCGCTTGGGTCAGGTGGTTCATGAAATACGGAAGCAGCAAGGCCTCTAGTGTCTTCGCTACCGGGGAAAGGAGTGTTATCGGTCGATCGGAATCTCCTTTGTTGGCTGGTTTCCCCGGTTTGAGCAGTGGGACCACTCTNAAGAGCAGACTATGGAATGTTACTGCGAGTATTTTGGGGTTATTCACCGTCGGAATTGGTGTATCATCGACGTGAAGTCCCAGCGGTAGCCTGACCTCCTTCGTCCAGGTGGTGAACAAGGTCGCAGAGGATTTCGTAGGGGAGAGGGCTAGGCACTTTGCAGTGAAGAAGTGAGAAAGCTCGGAGACATACCCGTTTACTTTCGAATACAAGCCATCAATTCCATTCCCAGTCGCCATGATCGAGCAATATTCGGCGTAAGAGACAATCGAGACTCTCTCTGGTGGTTGAAGGAGCTTTGAAATATAAAAGTTAAACAGTAGCGGGGAAAGGACACCACCCTGTGGAACCCCCTGTTTTATTTTTCTGAGTTTGCTCGATTTGTCTCTAAACATTACCGACGAGTGTCGACCACTCAGATAATTTGCCGACCACCGTTTGAGCCTCTGTGCGAGAGAGGAAGCCTCTATATCTTCTAGTAGCGTGGAATGTCTGACAGTGTCAAACGCCTTTGACAGGTCCAACGCTACTAGAATAGTTCTCCCACAGGGACGGTTACGGTTAAGGCCACGAGTTATCTGAGTGTTTATGCACTTTACTGTGCACTGTGCACTTTACGGAAACCATGCTGATGCTTCGCTTGGGTCAGGTGGTTCATGAAATACGGAAGCAGCAAGGCCTCTAGTGTCTTCGCTACCGGGGAAAGGAGTGTTATCGGTCGATCGGAATCTCCTTTGTTGGCTGGTTTCCCCGGTTTGAGCAGTGGGACCACTCTCCCCACCTTCCAGATGTCTAGGATGATGAGAGTAGCCATTGACAAATTGAGGACCTCCGTTAGGTACGCTACTCCCACAGGACCCAAATTTTTTAGCATCAACATGCATATTCCGTCGGTACCCATGGCCTTGGAGGCTTTCGCCTTCCCGATGGCCACCTGAACTTCACCGCAAGTGAAAGCAAGGGGGCACAAGTGGTTGGCAGTTTGTGCAGCCTTCTTGTCACTCGACGCGTGGCTTTGTCCAACGGACGATGCAGTATTAACTGCCGGCTAAAATAGCTCGCGCATCGCTCCGGGTCCGACGAAGCATGGTCGCCGAAAGAAATTTCGACCCTGTCGTCATGCTTCGTCGGATTGGACAGTGACCTCACGGTTGACCAAAGCTTGCTCACACCAGAGGTGAAGTTACAGGTCTTCAGATGCTCTTCCCACTTCTTCCGCTTATGCACGTACACTAGTTGGCGAATCTCCGCGTTGAGATCCCTGTTACGGTGGTCGGCCTGACGAAGGCTGCCACGCTCATCGGCTAGAACAGCCGCTTCAGCAGGGAAATTTGGACGTGGGTCCGTTATGCATCCTGCCGGTACGAAGCGAGCTGCAGCAGCGTTCACCAAGGAGGACGTCGGTTGGTGTGGGGATCGCAGCGAAGGTGTTTTCAGTAAATTACGCGAAGCCTTTCCAATCAGCTTTAGAAAAGTTAATATAGGTCCGGTGTTCCGCGGAAGATGGTCTGATGCCAAAGTCAGCATAAGTCGCCATGATACGCTGTTTATCAGACCAGCGCTGACTATTGTAATGTCTGGCGAGCTGCAGCAGCTGCCCATAATCCTGGTGGGTGCGTCGTCGTTCATTGTGCAGAATGTCGAATCGTCTATCTCCTCAGCCAAATCTGTTCCCCTACGATCGTTTGACAGGCTTGAGTGCCAAAGATCGCGGTGTGCATTAAAGTCACCTACTACCATACGGTTTTCACCTCTGAGGAGCGCACCTATGTCAGGGTGATATCCTGCCGGGCAGTAGGTGACAGAGGGTATGTACACATTAAATATTTCGAGCTCAACATCGCCTGACCGGATAGCAATGCCCTGACATTCTAGGGTGGTAACCCTGCGGTCGATGTCTGCTTCAATAAGACGATACTGCACGGTGTGGTGCGTGATGAACGCTAAGCCACCACCATTATCTCGCTCGCGATCTCGACGGTGCACGTTGTACCCGGCACAATTCAACAAAGTTTAATTGCTGTGCAACTTCGTCTCTGGGCCCGCAGCTATCAGTATACCACGCCTTCCCATGGAGACGGTTATCTCCTCGATCTTGCTCTGAAGCCTCTTACAGGTAAATTGAAGGAGCTTCATGTGGTTCGGGAGACGTGTAGTAATGCGGGGTGTGAGAGCAACACGGGCCCCCGAAGTTCCTCGTCCAATCTCGCGTGGTGCGCAGACCTGAACATGCCCTAAAGTGGCACCAGCCAAGGCAGGTGTTGCACTTGACTGATGTCACATTACGGAATATTCTGGTCTGACATACCGTGCAGATTGTAGGGGGAACCAGGAGTTGTTGGCGGCGGCGTATGGGTGGTGGTGCGTTTGTGTATGTTCTGTGGTCTGTCGTGGTTGCGGTGTGGTCTATTGTGTTGTTATGTTGTTGTGCTGTGGTGTTTGTGTGGAGCTGTTCAGGTGGACTGGGGATAGAAGTGGAGACTGCTCTATTTGAGCAGCAGGGGGCCATCTGCGACGTGGTCCACTGCCGATGTGTCCGTAATCCTGAGCAGACTCTGAGTTGACTCCACCCCTCGCAAGCATTGCACTTGCCTGAGGTGGAGTTGTGGTGTAGTCGTCTCTGGCGTACATAGCGGATGTAGGTTTCTGGCCCTGAATTTGACTCGATGCCAGCCCTGAGCAGAAGAATGCGTAACAAATGTAGCCCTATGGACAAACAACTTCTGAGAGACTTCGCCGCCCTAAACGGGGTTAGATCGCCGAAACAACAGCCCTTGGTCAGGTAAAACCCGAGTCATTCCGGTACGTAGAACCGGCTGTCGTGGGAATGAATAATTATTATTATTCTGGTTCCCTGATTGCGATACTCCAGGATTTAGTCAGAGGTCGTTCCCGTACACACATAATATGTTTTTTTTTATATTTATGTAACTCCTTTTCGTCAATTCGTACAAAATTATAAATTTAAGATTTGAGTGGCAGCAAACACAACATTGACTTATTGACACTTATCAATCAAAGAAGAACAGCTAAATATGCTTGACAGTGTTCACAAATTCGATCGGACTTCGGGCTGGTGAGAGCAAAAATTACTCTAAAAGTCGCTCTCTAAAGCTCCTGACTAAATATGACTGTTTCTGACTAAACCCTGGAGAATTGGAACAAACTAAATATTGACAAGACTTGGTACGAGAGTAGAAATTAAAAAAATGATAATTACATTATTCTTCCAGTGGAAAATTTTCTCGCGCGAGTCCAAAACATCTGAAAAGTTGGTTTACATAAGTATCTATTGGAATGCTTTGTCTACAGTCAAATGATAAATAGTGTTAGTCAGTAAGCCAAAGTGCAGTCAGATTTAGCCAGATACCCTTAATCGAATGAGAAATCAATAAGCTGAGCTGAAATACATAAGGGCAAGAAATATAAAATAAGAAGAAAAAATCCTGTTAAATCTACCATAACGCCAGAGAAGCAGGCAATAATATAAACATGAGCGATACACATTCGAACAAGAAAAAATACTAACACACACTTGACACAACCGAAGAAGCCCGTTGAAATTTCTGATCTCGCTATTATGTTTAGTTCATAAGAAATTGCGCTCTAACTGCTTATTGGAGAAATAGAGTTCAAAAACCTATACTGCTTAAAAACGATCGTAGAATTTGAAAAAGCAATTGCGCGATGATAATAGTATAAGCAACGCCAATCACACAAGAAAGCTGTGTACATCATATCCCTCCAATATAAACGCACATTTTTACAATCAAACAACAGCAACGATTACATCAAGGAATTTACAAAAATCGTCTGGTATTGACCACACCACCACCACCTACTGCTATAAAAGACATACGCTTTTCAGATTATATAAAAAAACAGCCGAGGAAAGCAGCATCTGCAGTTAGTTAAACTTATAAACAATTTTCTAGCGCGGAGTGATAATAGAAAACCAAAATTTTCCTGCACAATACACTGCGGCGTATATAACGCGCAAAGATATCTACTTTGGACAGCTATTTGTACATTCGAATCGCATTGGATTACTAATCTTACCTAATTTAAATGGAACTATTTCCTTGTCCAGCCCCTGCAGTATAAAAACATATTTACACCAAAGAACTATCTGTTTTATCAAGTGCTGCTCGATACCAAGCTTAGGTAATCGCTTTTATCTCGAGAGTAAAAACATGACATGGCTATAATGAAACACATTTCTCAACATCATTTAGTGTGGAAACACATTTACCTTCTTTAACGGGCCAGCGCCTACTAGAAGATATTCATGATTTGTAGGAGGCGTATCAGAAACTGCACTTAACTCCTCTAAACACTGAAAGCGAGGAGATAAGATTGTCTCTTCAATTTAAATTAAAAGCTTATTTAACCAGCCTTTAGACCGTTATGAATTATTAGCAATGCCAATACCGCAACACAAGACATCGCACAAAGTTATAAATGAGCGTGCCTGTGCGAAATTCGAAACTCTCTGTATATGTGCTGCACCCATAACTAGTATTAATGAAAATGGTGAAAAATTATACCGTTCCAGTGATGATAAGTATGTCAAAAATATCTCTAAAGACACGGAATCATCAGAAACCGAAAGCAAATTTTTAGACGAGAATACATCGAATGAGAGGCAACAAAACCTGACTTCTATCAATGTGAAGTCTGGTTGCGTTAACACATCTTATCTCGCATCAGATCGTGACCCTAATAATAAAATCGTGGAAATACAAACTTCGAAAAACACATCTACGAAGGCAGCACATAAAATAAAAAGCGAAGAAACCAACATTCAAGCTCAGCTAGGCTCAAGCACAAATATTTTATCTTTAAGATTAGCATCGTCATTGCCAATCAAGATTATAAGTGGTAATAGTGATGATAGTTTGCTATTAAAATCAAAGAATCAAGAGTCTGCAGAACTAAAGAACAATAATTGCATCAATAGTAATAATTCGCGTACTTGTTTAAGTCTAATTTCTAATAACAACTTCACAACTCACAGTACTACTAACGGCAATACAATGGTTGGTGCACAAAAGAAAACTCAGCAACTGTCGTCTGCACAAACGCTTGATGGTGTGCAGAATGCAAGCAACCATAATTTTACGATTGGCCATGATAGACAACATGCGTTACTAGTTGATGCCCCTGCGGCCGCGATTCAAGGTACCACCAAAAGCATTACGAATCAAAGTGGCTTTAAAACTGCTGATAATCATGTTCTCGAATATTCAACAGCGAAAATGTCCGACAATTTCAGCGGCGATGTTATCCCAAATAACTCTCGGTCAAAAGAAGCTTGTACTTTTACAGATGATGCTGTTGTAAAGATAAAAAGGGATAACTTTGATCTCATAACTACTATCAAAACTAAGAACCTGCCACAGAATCAATTTCTACGGAACTATGACATAAACAGTGAAAGTAGCCACTCAACTTCACTCGCTATACAACAAGAATTTAAAACGGATTCGGATAGTAGCGACAATGCACTTCGCGTTCCCATACCGTTAACAGCTAATCTGAATATTTTGCAGCTGCAACAACAAACAGATAATATCCCCAGACATTTGGATGAACATCAGTTAACCAATTATACTAGTAATGACTCAGGCACCCAAGAGATCAATGAACTGGAAAAGGGTTACACATCAAAGTCACTTACAGGTAAGTTTTCAAATTATTCATTTTATGGATATAAAAAAAAAACACAAATTCCATTCATGACCAGACTCAAATTATTGGGCAGGAATGAAATCTTGTGATGGAAAATTAGTATCTACTTTATAATAATAATAATAATAAATTGGCGCTTACACAATATATTAGTGTTTGGCCGAGCTTCTCCTCCGATTTGGGATGGGCCTCACACAAAGGAAAGGACCTACAGTCTTACACCGACTCCGAACGGCGATTGTATTTTTTTTTTTTGAGAAGCTGTTTCTTCATTTGTTGTCTGTGGAATTTTATTTATAAAAAACAAATTTTATTTTATTCGGCTATCCCCTTAATGTAGTGGGCGAGGAAATTCGCTAATCTATGACATTTTTATGCTTCTTCCTTCCTAGGCAAAAGTACTGAATGGCAAATTTCAGTCAAATCGGATCTTAATTACAACTTTTTCCTCACAGCGCATATGGAATGTGAAGCAGAGTTTAATGAACATTGTAATCCCAATAACTCATCCGCGCACGTTTGAGCAAAGTAGTTACACTCTCCACAAAGCCACTAAAAATGCGTTAAATCATATAAATATTCTCAACTTTGAAAGGACTACTATTGATCATGACATTAAAACCGATAATTCAATTACCAGTGCTGAGTCCGTTAAATGTCTGTTAGAATTTTTACGTAAACATACGATTCATACAACACCGGCGGTGCCAGTTTTCGCTGGAAAAATCCTTTGATAGTGGTAATATGAATGTCTAGAATCTAGACAACCACTTAGTTGGCTATTCCGAGGTATTTCGAAACTTAGACTTTCTGCCACTCTCAGACCATCCTGTGACGTAGTTACAGCACCTCGCCTGACATAGCAACATTTAGGCCAGTCTCATAAATATCATACCGTGGCGACCCATGCTATCGTCGCATCGGACGACCTGCCCATCATCCCGATAAACCATCCGAATTTGCTTCCGCAGACCAGTGTACAGTCTTCCATATTTGTGAATGGCAGTTCCGGAGTGTGGTCACTGCTGCAGCGGCACGCTTCATACTTTCCCATAGATTCCGCCCACATTTTTCGACTGGAGCTGCTGAACTAGCAAATGCGAATAGCGAAAGATGTGAGAAGAGCACTTGACGATTTGAAACTTCACCACTGGTGGGAGAAATCACTTTCTGTCATGGGCAGATATCGAAAATAACCGTCACCAAGTGTCTCGTATGGTGTTTGCCACTGACACAAACACTCATCTCTGGAGCAAAGAGTGTTTCCCACCGTAGCAAATAACTCTGTGCGATCTTTTTGTGTTTTCCGTTGTGGGTTATTTATCAACTGCTAAAATTTCCCTTGGGCAAAAACACTTTGGCAGGGACTTTTATTTTTAAGTGTCTTAATTTGTGGGTTATTGTAGGACTGAAAAATATAAGTGGGCGTAATAAGTGGAAGCAAAGCGTTAGGTATTTCTTTAAACGACTCATACGTACACATTCATGTCGGAACATTGACAAAGAGAGCGTGCACATTCTTAATATGATACACCGAAAATAAGCTATTTTATTTTATTGATAAAGAAAAGAATAAAGGCAAAGGTAAAAATAAAAACAAAAACAAAGATGCGTAAAGATAAATGCAAAAATTAAGATCAAGGTAAATTTAAAAATTTTACTATTATAAGTACGGTGACCATCCGTTCTGTTTTTTTGCAGGACCGTACTGTTATTTAAAGGTCTGTCCTGCGTAGTTTTTCAAAACAGAAAACCCCCAAAATGTACTGATTTTTTCCAAGTGTCCTGCCTTTGTCCCGCATTTTCTTCGATATTTTAAAATTAACTTTTCTTAACCGAAATAAAAGCAGTGTCGATAACTAATTGATAACTACATAAGGGTAAGCTGGTTTTGAAGGTTCAACTAGTCAATGCGTTCTAAATATTGTACGGTTATGGACAATGGATTACGAGAAATTGAAGACCAGCATCAAATATATCGATAACACTGTTCTACAAATTTTGTGGTAATCGCTTAAGAAAATAAATATTTTCCAAGTCAATTTTCCTTTCAAACAAGCGCTTTCGTAATATTTTGGAAAAACGAGTTTTGGTATATTTCGAACCTATTCGTCAATATCTCATGAAAAAATTATCCAAACAACATAATCGACCTACAGTCCTCTTACAAATATATATTACTTTGCCGATTTCGATGAAAATTATTAGTGTTACAAGCGACCAAAATCAAAAAATTTAAATTTCCATTATTTTCTTTTTACAGTAAATGAAAATCTGATGAGAAATGGAGATGTTACGGAACACAATCTGCACAAAAAACATATATTTTTGCAAAGAGCCCATCAATACCTTTCGAACTGTTGGTCGTTTCATGAGATATTGAGGATAACTGAAAAAGTACTAAAAATACGGTTTTCGAACAAATCTCGAAACCACTTCTTTGAAACCACGGGTATTTTTTTCGTGTTCAACGACCCAAAGTTTGCCTAAAAAGTTTACTTTACAGAGGTTCATATTTCGTGTAAAGTAATATGCTTTATTATAATTTTGTAAATATTCAATACTAAAAGATTAATACTAATGAAGCAAATGTGATTTATGTTTAAAGTTTAAAATTGGATTAATAATTAAGAAATATACACTCTTCGTTAATTGAATAGCGCATCCTTTTAATGCTTAGTAGATACAGTTTTGCTTTTGTTTGTTTAATATTCATTAACTTTTTATAAAAATATAGCATATTCTACGTCTACATCCCATTTTAAAAATTTTTGAAAATTAAAAAAAAAAATAAACATAGGGGCGAAATTTTTTTTGTTGACGGTGCTGCGCATTTTCTTGCATATAAAAATTTTGTCAAGCATACTTTGTATGGTAGAAAACCAAAAAAAGGGTGCGCTATTCAAATGACGAGGAATGTATATATGTAGTATATTTTTGTTATTTTTATACTACGCAATTATATGTATGTAAATTTTTTGAAAAATTGTCCTGCATTTTCAAAATATATTTATGGTCACCGTAATTATAAGGGCAAAGGTGAAGGGGAATATGTAGATCGAGAAAATGATAAACATTAAAATGATAAAGATAAATAATTTAGTGTTTTGCCGGCTCGAGGTCAATTTTAAAAAATTCTTTTATGAAAACACAAGTTTTTTGGTGTTTATTTATTTGGTACCAAACTCCACGTCAAACAGTGCGGACGTGTAAATTAATTTGCCCTGAGGACGGTTACCGAAGCGTAACCGAAATATATCGGAAATAAACACCAAAAAACTTGTGTTTTCATAAAAGAATTTTTTAAAATTGACCTCGAGCCGGCAAAACACTAAATTATTTATCTTTATCATTTTAATGTTTATCATTTTCTCGATCTACATATTCCCCTTCACCTTTGCCCTTATAATTACGGTGACCATAAATATATTTTGAAAATGCAGGACAATTTTTCAAAAAATTTACATACATATAATTGCGTAGTATAAAAATAACAAAANGATAAAGATAAATATTAAGAAAAATACGAGGATGAGTAAAGATGAAGATAAAGGAAGGAAGATTAAAATAAAGGTAATTATAAAGAAAATGATATAGTCACAGAGACTCAACCTGGGAACTAGAAATGTTCGATATTTAAGAATCGATATCATGAATCGATTTAGTTCACTTCCATCTCGAAATAGTCCAAAAATCCCGAAGTGGTCCCGAAGATTCCGTTAATCCCGAAGAAGTCTGGAAAATCGCGGATTAGTCCCGAGGGCCCCGCAGATTTTCGTAGAACTGGAAGTTGGAAGATACTTGAATATCTTATTTGCGTTGCATCACAAAAGTATTATTTAGTTGAAAAATTGCAAATCAAATTGATTCGCTTTACAAATTTTTATTTCTTTTTTGGTTGACAAATCAAATCACAAATAAATTTTATTTTTTCTTTGGTCAACAAACCAAATCACAAATCAAATATATTTCTTAACTAATAGCGGATTTTAAATCAATATGGATTTAAAAGCACGCAACCCTGCTCCCGCATGACCACGACGTTGACGTTGCTTATATCTCAACAGCAAATTTGATATGTTTCTACGCACTTCTACGATACCCTGCATACACGTTCGTGGGTAACCGCGCTCTAACACTTATTTTTCCTCTTCCAGCGATAAGTGTCCGTGTCCAACAGCAGCGGAAAAAGATATGCAAATAACCCTTTCCCACTGAGAGGATCACATATCTACAAAAAATAAACCANCTAATAGCGGATTTTAAATCAATATGGATTTAAAAGCACGCAACCCTGCTCCCGCATGACCACGACGTTGACGTTGCTTATATCTCAACAGCAAATTTGATATGTTTCTACGCACTTCTACGATACCCTGCATACACGTTCGTGGGTAACCGCGCTCTAACACTTATTTTTCCTCTTCCAGCGATAAGTGTCCGTGTCCAACAGCAGCGGAAAAAGATATGCAAATAACCCTTTCCCACTGAGAGGATCACATATCTACAAAAAATAAACCACCTGTTCTGTTTTGTGGGTTATTTTTTCTCTTAAAGAGGGACGGTTATTTTGGGACACTTTCAAAGTGTTGAGGGATATTTTCGACCTCTGGTCATTGGGTATCGTCGGACCCGAAAGAGTGCGCGAGCTATTTCAGCCGTCAGTTCATTCATCATCTTTCGGTAGATGATGCCGAATGTCGAGTGTCCCGAAGGGTTAAGAAACTACCGAAAACCAGTACGCGTCTTCATGATAAGTAAGTTAGGGAGGCCGTCGGGAAAACAAAAACCTCCAAAACCATTGGCTGCTACGGAATATGCATGCTGATGCTAAACAAATTGAGTGTGGCGGGCGTAGAATGCCTTACTAAGGCTATAGATTCTTAATATACTTTGCCATTTTATACTTATCTCTTGATCATGAAATTTGTTATAAAATATTTGATTTCAACTTTTTACTTCAAAAACATTTTAATGTAGAATAGTTTAAGTTTTTACAATTTATTAATTTTTAAGTATTTGCACAATTTTAATTATAGCGAAATTAACAAATGAACGTAATTGAATAAAAATCGTTTACCGAAAGAAAATTACTTACCGTCTCGTGACATGTGGGAGTCTCACTACTACCATAAGTCCCTCCCCTTTGTGTCGCAACATCAGGGCGCACACCCCCTATAAATCGGAGGAGAGTTTCGGCCAACCCGTTGCTACATGAAGTACTAAGTTCTACAGTTGTTTTCTTTTTGGACACCTCACAAAAAAACGAAATTCCTAGTTCTGGTTGACAAAAAATTTTTCAATTACAGCTTTGTCGTTGGCAAGGATTATCTCAACAGCTACATCGCCATCTTCTGCAATGCCTACACCTATATCCTGTGCGCGCCCAGATTGTAACATACCCTTTAGTATCACAACAATAGCTACAACTTCTGCAGAAAGCATTGTTTCAACGTTAAACCCGGGAACAACTACAAAGGAAAGCCAGTTGCACCAACCATCGGAGGTAGCGGAAACATTTTCATTCCATGAGCAAATTATTATGTCAGGACAGCAAAAGTGTGCCTTGCAAGCGAAACCCAAACCTTTGGTTGTATCCCCGCAACAAGTAATGGTATTATATATGCATAAATTGACACCATATGAGCGCACAGAAATACTAGCATACCCGCAAATATATTTCATTGGTGCTAATGCTAAGAAACGACCCGGTATATTCGGTCCAAATAATTCCGATTATGATAACGATCAAGGTGCATACATACATATACCACACGATCACGTGGCCTATCGCTATGAAATGCTTAAGGTGATAGGTAAGGGCAGCTTTGGACAAGTTATCAAGGCTTACGATCACAAGACACATGAACATGTCGCGCTGAAGATGGTAAGGAATGAGAAGCGTTTTCATCGACAAGCACAAGAAGAAATACGCATTCTGCACCATTTGCGGCGACAAGACAAATATAATACAATGAATATAATTCATATGTTTGATTATTTCACATTTCGCAATCATATGTGTATTACTTTTGAATTACTCAATATAAATTTATACGAGTTAATAAAAAAGAATGGCTTTAAAGGATTCAGCCTTCAACTTGTAAGAAAATTCGCTCACTCACTGCTGCAATGCTTGGATGCGTTATATAAGAATGAGATTATTCACTGCGATATGAAACCAGAAAATGTTTTACTGAAACAGCAGGGCCGTTCTGGTATAAAGGTACGTTGAAATTGGACTTGACGATTAGGACCAGTTTTTTAGTGCATGGCTGAAGTTTAAACTTAGTTTAAACGCTGGAGCTGGCTGGTTTAAATTAGAAATAGCCAAACGATTAAAATTGTGATAAACTGTCACTAAAAAACTGGCCCTTAGTCTGTTTGTTAAGATTTCCAGAGATAATTATCGAACAGCAAATTGCAGAAATTATATTCGATAGAAAAATATCAATAAAAAAACGTTAGTGAAGTCACAAATAAATAAAAAGTTTAAGGAACAGCTGATAGAAATTTTTATCACATACGAAAAAACAAAAGCACAAGAAAAAATTAAAACTGAAAGTTTGGTAAAGCAACCTGCTAGCAAGCGAGAGAAAATTTATATTTGCTTTCTATTTGGAAATCTACTAAATTATTTTAAATTTAAAAGTCCTCAAAAATTATTTTATCATTTCCATAAATTGTAGACAATATTGCTGATGTTAAATAATTTTCCAAGAAGAATTTGCCTTCTCCTCCAAGCGTACTGTTCATTCTCAATTTCCTCAGCGTAATACTTATTTGTGATAATTATAAAAATTATTAACTAATAGCAAAGTCCGAATATAATAATAATATTATTATTTTGGCGCATATACTTTTGCTAAGTGTTTGGCCAAGATTCTCCACCAATTTTAGGAGTTATTCATGATGTTATACCACAAATGAAGGAGCCTCCAACGACAAATGGTTATATAAGAAGCTTTTTCAAAGCAGAAATACACTCGGAAGTTTACCATGCCATGCGACTGTAAATGTCACGGACTGTGTGCTACGCATAGACTATTTGGTCCCAGCGGTACCAGATGAAGATAGAACGCTAAGAAGGCTTATGGTGGACATAAATTAGAGTGTTAACATGTTTAATGAAATTAAGGAGCCCTTGGAGTCCCACTTGGAAGAAATTCTCAAGTTTCCCGACATGGGAAGCAGCCAACTACTTCAGTCGAGTCCGCGATAGCCCCATAGCCCCAGTCATAAGCATAGGAGGTGCTTAGCATTGTTTCGCCGATGCCATGTACTTTTCACGTTCGTCGCCAGTAATGGCCTGCCAGTAGTTATTGTTCTACAGTCTTCGTTTGTAAATGACCTTCGATGTTTTGCTAAACTATTCCACCTCACAACTACTTGTCTGCAGTGTTGCTAGTTTAGCCGTTTTCCGGCTAGATTTAGCCAGTTGCGATAGCAAACAGCAGGAGAAAATTTGGTTTAGTCGGCAGCCGATTTGTTAGCCGCCGTTTCGTAAAAAAATAGCCGTTTTTAGCCGATTTTGCTATAGGCCTTATTTTCTTAAAATCAAAATACATAAGTTTCCATTTTTACAAATTTAACGACCCAAAATTACATGTCGGACTGTGTTATATAAAATTGAAAGACAATTTTTTGCAATCCGAAGAGTCCTAAAACACGGCCGATTTCAATGATTTTTATTTTAAGCGAATATACAGTGACCCATATACATATAAACTGGGACGCCACAATTTAGCAAATTTTCATTATTTAATGCTTATTATTTTTTTAATGTAGCTGGGTACTTAAAAAACCAACAATTAAATCCAAATTTCCTACTTTGTGCAAAAGTTATGAAAAATCTAAAAATTTTCCTCAAATTTAAAGTAACTAGCACTGCCGTTGATTTTTGGCTAATTTCGTGACGGTGTTCCGCATTTTTTTCATAAAAAAATGCGTAACAGCGTCATACAAAAAATCCCAAAAATCAGCGGTCAGTCCTAGCTACTTAAAATTTGCACCGTATTATATTAAAGTTTAATAGACTATAAAACTGCATACATACCATAATTTTTCTAAAGATGCAATAACTGAATAATTGTATCATGCATACGCAGAGAGGTCATTCAAAACGTTTCGAATATATGGACATTAAAATAGAATTAAATAGTTGGATTGATAAAAACTTAAAAAGGGACCTGCTTTTTAAATTAATGGTGTTTTCTTTTCTCGAAATAATGTTGCCATTTTTTCCTCAGCCCTCCGACTAAGCAAAAGTGCAATACTTTCTACTAATATAGTAAGTTTGCACGACGAAAAGTAACGTAGTTCAAATGTTACAATGTAAGAAGGCAAACTTTTTCAATAGAAAAGAAAACGCCATAAGTTTGTAATTGATCTTTTTTTTTATTTAAGTAATACAAAAATGACTTCTGATGTAAAGCTTAGCTACGTATAACGACAGCTTCCTTTGTTAAAAACTAATAATTTGAATTGAATTTACCAGTCTCTGTTTTTGAGATTTATTTAATGAATTTACTAGTCTTTCTACTTGTGATTTATTTCAATCTGAATTTTAGTTGAAGCATTTTAGCAGATTTTTTTTTGCCAATTTGGCCGGTCGGCCCAAAAAGTAATGGGCTAAGTATGTCCTTTCCTACGCTCCACATAAAGCAAAAGTGACGATTTAGCTGGAAAAAAATAGAAAACTGCGATGATCTTTAATATCTATGAAAATACGTATGAAGGTTCATTAATGTTTACCAAACTAAGGGACAGTAATAGTTATAAAGCAACGTTTTGCATTCTGTTAATAGGGTACCCGCAACTTGTCGAATACGTATCGAGCGCACCGGCACCTCTAACCAGCCATACGCGGTAGCCCTGCATTAACTATAGTATGTGTAGATGTAACTTTTTATACCCGAGCGCACTTGTGCACAAGGATTTTATAACTTGTTCACATAACGCTTGGTTGTAACAACCGAAACGAATCCAGATAGATATAGACAATTGTGTACGTAAATGATCAGAACGGAAAGAAAAATAATTAAGCCATATATGTCCGTCCGTCTGTCCGTATACGCGATAACTCGAGAAAAATGGAGATATGTCTACAAAATTTGGGAAGTAGGTAGCCCTTTATCCATGATAGGTTGGGATTGAAAATGGGCAAAATTGGACAATAACCACGCCTACCTCCCATATAGAGGTATTTTTGAAATATGGAAAAATAAGATCAAAATTGGAAGTTGGTTTCCGAAGTAGAATTTTGGCATAAAATAAGACAGTTATGACATTTTTGGAAAATGGGCCTGGCACCACTCACTTATGGTGAAATGCTATATCTCTGTATTCCCTTCACCAATCCCCACCAAACCTCACTAAGAAACCCGTTGAAATTTTTTGACATCACACAAGAACCACGCCCTCCCATATGACGGTAATTTACAGAAATACGAAAACTGTGATAAATTAGTAACTATTTAAGCTAATTTACTCAAAATCGATATATGCAATGGCCTCTTAGCCGAAAATTATATTTAGAGAAATTTTTGGAAAATGGGCGTGGCACCGATACTCATGCCTATATATGTGTATCTCGGTACCGGGTTTATCAATTTCTACCAAACTCGGCACATTTATCAACCTTGGCGCAAAAAAGCAATATGTTGAAAATTTTTTAAATCGCACTTAAATTACCGCCACTTACCATATAACGGTAAATTTCAGATATACGAATACTCCGATACTTCAATAACTAAAGACTCCCCATCGCGTTGGCGATGGCGAATACCGCAGACGATTTAACGATGAGCTGTATGAGCTTTACAACGATATATACATAGGGCAGCGAATTAAAATACAGCGGCTCCGCTGGCTTGGCCATGTCGTTCGAATGGACAGAAACGCTCCTGCTCTGAAAGTATTGAACGCGGGCCACGATGCTGGTAACAGAGGAAGAGGAAGGCCTTCTCTGCGTTGGAAAGGCCAGGTGGAAAAGGACTTGGCTTGACTTGGCATTTCCAATTGGCGTCAGTTAGCACAGAAGAGAAATGACGGTTACAGCGCCAATAAAGAAGAAGAAGAGAAAGACCCCAACTTACAAAAATCTCTTAACAGGACACAAGATTATTGATTTTTGTAAAATGGGCGTGGCACCACCTACTTATCACTACATAGTTATCGATAACCGCCTTATCGATTTCCACCAAACTTGGTCCAATTATTTCAATATATCACTGTTTGACATTGGGAAAAATACTCTTCCTTATCATGCAGTTTACTGAAAGGTGACAAATCGATATCTAATACCTGCGCCGGGTATATAAAGTTCGGTTTCGCCCGAACTTATACTTCTTTACTTGTTAAAATTATTTTTATATTAAAGAAAGACCTACTAGTAAGTTTTTGTTTTTTCATTAGTTTTCATATAATGCCGACTTTCCATTGAAATGACAAACAATGTATGTCATTTAAAAAAATGCCATTTGGAAATGAACTTAATGACTATTTTTTAACGTAATGACACGATAATTTTTTAATGCCTTATGCTTAAAACACAATACCCGGCGAACGGCGAACATTCCCACGACAGCCGGTTCTACGTACCGGAATGACTCGGGTTTTACACGACCAAGGGCGGTTGTTTCGGCGATCTAACTCCGTTCAGGTCGGCGAAGTATCTCAGAAGTTGTTCGACCATAGGGCTGCATTCGCTTCGTTTTCTTCTACTCAGGGCTGGCATCGAGCCAAACCCAGGGCCAGAAACCTACACCTGCTGTGTATGCCAGAGACGACTACACCACAACTCCACCTCAGTCAAGTGCAATGCTTGCGAGGGGTGGAGTCACCTCAGAGTCTGCTCAGGACTACGGACACATCGGCAGGGGACCACGTCGTTTGTGGCCCCCTGCTGCTCAAACAGAGCAGCCTCCACGGCTAACCCCAGTCCACCTGAGCAGTCCCACACAAACACCACACCTCAACAACTTAACAACAGAATAGACCACACCAAGACCGCGACAGACCACAGAACACACACAAGCGCACCACCACCCACACGCCGCCGCCAATCTGCACGGTATGTCAGACCAGGATATTCCGTAATGTGACATCAATCAAGTGCAACACCTGCCTTGGCTGGTGCCACTTTAGGGCATGTTCAGGTCTGCGCACCACGCGAGATTGGACGAGGAACTTCGAGGGCCCGTGTTGCGCAGTACGGTCGAAAAC